GAAGGAAGGAAGGAAGTCAGGAAGGAAGGAAGGAAGGAAGGAAGGAAAGAAGGAAGGAAGGAAGGAAGGAAGGAAGTCAGGAAGGATGGAAGGAAGGAAGGAAGGAAGGAAGTCAGGAAGGATGGAAGGAAGGAAGAAGGAAGGAAGGAAGGAAGGAAGGAAGGAAGGAAGGAAGGAAAGGAGGGAGTCCGGATCTCCTGTTGAAGGGCCGTGAGAACAGCACGGGTGGTGTAGCAGCTTGGGGGTGTCACACATTCCGTCTAGCCCACCCCTCGCTGTCCTGACCCCAGGACCGGAGCCACAGGCCTCCCTGGGGAAGTCTGAGAGGAACATTTCAGTACGTACTGGCAGTAGTATCTCAGATTTCTATCATGTTTCCTTTTTCCTCATCTACTTGTCGTGCGTTTTGGACACGACAGTGGGTTACGTAAATCGGTCATTCTGTCCTCCAGATGTGGTCCATGTAGTGGAACACAGGAAGCTCTTGTCGGACAAACGCTGTTCTCCTCCACACGTGGGAGCTGACTGTGGAGGATGGCCGCCTTCACCTGGCAGGGACAGCAGTATACCTTGGCCCACTGGCCTGGGACTTGTGTCACGTCTCTGTTCTTGTCAAAGTACAGACCTCGGGACCCCCGATTACCCCACAGAACAGAAGGCCAGTTAAGTCTGCCGATGGCACGGCGGTGATCAGACCTGGAAGGAAGTAACAAATGTCCCGATGCCCTTAGGAAGACACTTGAGGCTGGACGGTGGGAGATAAACCCACGAAAACCAAGGACCCTGCCCTCTCAGTGCAGTTTAAGACGCCCTGAGGCCTGGGGTTGGTTAAGGTGCTCACAGCTGCTGTGTGCTCCCCCTGCCACAAGGAGGGAGGCCTCATTGGATTCTGGAGGGGTAATATACTATGTTTAGGGTGCTGTTCTGAACGGGCTCACAGGGACAGGTCCCTGGCAGGTTTGGGCCGCCTTCCGGGCCTCTGCACCACGGCTCCACAGATCGAAGGTGTTTAAAGGGTCCGTGTCAGATGGGGATGCCATGCGGAGTCTCTGGCAGACCAGGCCTGGCATTTGGGAGGAAGGTCATGCCCTCGTCTGAAAATACCCACTCTGTTTGGACACTCGGCCCCTGGTTCTCCACTGGGCCTTGGTGGGGAGTGACAGCTAGGCCGGGGCCTCGAGGGACACCAGATCCAGCCGTTACGCAGAGGGGGGACACCAAAGGCTGGTGGGTCCTGTGTTGACACACGGCCCTCGCAGGAGCCCCCTGCTGGGATCTAAAACTGGGCCCCGTGTGCCAAGGGGACGGGCAGGGAGAGACCCAAGGGGCGGCCGCTCCAGGTTCACAGGTGGCCGCTTAGTAAGCAAGAGAACTTATGTGCGAGGCTCCTCCTGGGCAGCAGCAAGACGACGGGATCCCCGCACCCGCCTCCACATCTGACAGGTTTATAACGAGGCCTTAACTGGGCTCGGTCACGTCTACTGTGCACATCATCACCTCCAGGCTATGACCTTGAGTAGCCTCTGGGACGGGAAAGGCAAGTGGAACCCGCGTTCCAAGGACGGGGCGGGTGGCAGGGGTGGGAGGAGCTCCCAGATGCCGGGTCCAGGCTTCTCGATGACCTTCCCCAACATCCGGGGACACACACTTGTTGCCAGCTTGGGTGGCTCACACTGCAGCCACAGCGCCATCTGCCATGGACCGAATGTTTGTGTCCCCTCCCCCCAGTTCTTATGTCGAAGCCCTGACCCCAGAGTGGCGGCATCAGGGGGCGGGGCCTTTGGAGGGGACGGGGTGGGGGGGAGGGGATGAGGGTGAGGAATCAGTGCCCTTGTGAGAAGGGACAGGACAGAGCTTGCTTCACTGTCTCCCTGCCCCCGGCGGCACGAAGACACAAGAGAAGACGGTCGTCCGCAAAGCAGGACGCGGGCCCTGACCAGACGCCACATCCGCGGGCACTTTGGTCTCACACCCGCGGCCGCCAGAGCTGCGGGAGACAAACGCTTGTAGTGGAGGCCACCGTCTGTGACATATTCGTAGCGTCACATCCCTACCATATTTATACCACCCAGCCAAGACACCGTCTCCCCCACAACGTGCACCTACGGCCTTCCGGGGCGCCCCACGTGCAGGGGACCGAGGACAGGAAATCCGTCCGGTGGGCGGAGCCCGGAGTGGAAGCGGCTGAGCCTTCGCCTGTTCGTGGGAAGGGGCCGGTGGTTTGTTCGGACGTCCAGGACTTGGAAGCAGTCAGTCGGGAGGGTTGGTGACAAGGACGTCAGGGGCAGACTGTGTGGGTGGACCTTTCCAAAAGGGCACGAAGGGGTGGACGACGGGACCGGCCGGGGGATGTCGTGAGTCACGCCTGCTGCTCGCTCCCCGGGCTCATGGGCAGAGCGGTCACGGCGGCCGGGAGCTCCCCATGGCCTCAGATGGGGACCGTCCTCACCACGGCTGAATGGTCCCCACCACTGCTGGGGCCCGACTCGCCGACACCAGAGGCCAGGCAGAGCCCCCAAAACAGACCCTTCCCCAGAGGGAGAAGCCAGGCACCAGTGTGGATGGTTGACCTCCTCTGACCCAGACCTGGGCCTGGAGCCTTTGGGATTATCCGGGCTCAAAGGCCTGGAGGAAGAGCCCGCGTGGGGGTGGGCACAGGGCCTCCTCTATTCTGTTTGTCTCTGCGCGCCCCCCCCCCCCCCCCGGGGAGCCCAGAGGGGACACAGAAAGATCCTATCCTCTTTTAAAGTCACGTCAGGGCTATCTAAGCAGCTCGAGTGCAGGACCCCTGCCCCTCCCCTGGCCTCCCACCCGGGTGCAGGGGTGCAGCCGCGAAGCTCCATCCACAGCCCCCCAGCTCTCTGCACCCCTCCTCTCCCCCAGGACCCCCTCCAGGCTGTTGCCTCCTGTTGCCAAACCCAAGGTCACACGTCCTGCGTCTTCCTGCTCCCCCTGCCTGGCGCTCCCCTGGCTTCCTCCTCGCCTCCCTCCCCTCCCTCTCCATCTGCTCTGGGCCCTGGTCTTCTGCCCTTTCTCGCTTTCCTGTCTCACCCATGTCTCTCGCCCATAGTCACCTCTGCCACCCAGACTGTTCCCTGAAGCCCAGGCCGTCCACCAGCTGGCACCTTGACGCGTCTCCTCTGCATCCAGGGGCACCTTTGATGCGTCGCCTCTGCACCCAGGGGGCACATCGAAGCTGCGGTGTCCAGACTGCACTCCTGATGCCTCCCCCAGGCGGCTCCCTGCACGACCCTCCGCGCTTAGCTCCACAAATGGCAACCCCCCACCCCAGGGCTCAGACCCAAGTTGGGGGCACCCTCGACCCCACACCCATGCCTGGTTCGGTAGCAAGTGGTGCTGCCAGCTCCGCCCCCAACGCACATTCTGACACCACGCACTCCTCACCTGGCGGTCAGGAGCTTCCTCGCTCACTCACCGTCTCCTCCGCCTCTCCTTTGCCCCAGCCCGGGGGAGGTGTTCCAGCAGCCAGAGCGGTTGCACCCCAATACCATCAGCTTCTGTTCGGACCCTCCAGTGAGTAAACGACTCCCCGTCACCCGAGCCCCTGCCACCTCCCTGACTTGACCTCTACCTACTCTCCTGGCCACCCCCTAACTCTGGCCCTGTCTACTTGCAGGCTGCACACTCTGGGCCTGCTGCACCCCAGGACCATTGCACCTACCATCCTCACTCTCTGCAATCCTCCTCTCTGTAATTTGCACACGGCTGTCCCCATCCGAGGTCTCAGTGCATCCTAACAGAGAGATCTCGCTTTCCTCTCTGTTTACACACCACTCTCCCTACACGCACCAGAACTACGAGCGCCTCCCTCCTTTATTCTCCCCTGCTCCATCCAGCCCCAGCAGGATAATATGCAATTTGACATTTCCTTCTGCATCTCCAGGAAGTCTCAAAGCTGGGGTCTCATCTGCCTTGTGCACAGAGGCCTCAGTAATACTTTCTGGATGCACGTAACTTTGCTATTTGTTTCCTCAAAATTTTTAAATTGTGCTAAAATATACATAACATTAAATGTACCATTTTTAAGTGTGCACCTCAGTGGCATTAAGTGCATTCACAAATGCTGTGCAACTATCTGCTCTCCTCTAGTACCTTTTAACTGGTCACTTTCAGACATTATTCACTAACTTCCATTACGCTAGATGAGGATAAGCTCTGTTATAACTCTTCGCTTGTCCTTTCCCACAGACTCAATATAGAGAAAACTCTAATTTGAATCAATAGGCAATATTTATGCCATTTTGGCTAAATATTGTTCATCCTAGTGAACAGAGAGTGTATATTTCCTTCCTTGTACAGCTTATTGTTTTTCCTGGAGTTTGTTATTGCTGCATATTCTACTTGCATCAATTGCTATCCTTTTATCTTCAATTCTTTCCAATTGTTCTACCCTATTGTAGTAGTTTTCTATTGCTGCTATACCAAATTGTCACAAACTGAGTGGTGAACAACTTGAGAGACATGGGGACCAATGGAAAGTCCTAGAAGCATCTCTGTGTGTCGGTTGGAGCAGATCATGGAAGCCCTCCCATGAACACAGTGCCAAGCCAGGGACTGAGCATAAGTGAGGAAGAGCGTTACAGGGTTTCCGCCCTAGAACTGGAAGATGGTGCGCACCAGGGAGGAGGTATGACAGCAGCAGGTGTCACCCGATGGATATATGACATTAAGGGCAAAGGCACAGAATCAGTACCTGCTCCACCAGAGATGTACCTCCTTGGCTCCCTTCGTCCCTGGAGTGCAGGGCCACCCAGCTTCGTTTGGCACTCTGCCCCAGCATACAGGCCCTCAGACAAGCAACCGCTCTGAGACCGGTTAAGTTCTGCAGTAAGCGTTTGCCTGCATGACACCAGACAGCCAGAGGTGTTTCCAGAGAAGGCCAGCCTCCAGCTGAACCTGGAAAGAGAGGGGGATATGCGTTCCTAGGGGGAAGAAGGGGGACCTGAAAAGTGGAGGAATATAAGGAAGGGCCAGCTGGCCGGCAGGGACAGCCAGCACAGTGAGGTGTGGCTGAGGGGCACACCTGGGAACAGTGTTGGAGCAAGGCTTGCATCAGCAGCCCAGGGCAGCACCATGGAGCCCGCAAGTCAGGCTCAGCCCCAGGGTAGGAAGCAAATCTGATGGGATGGGCACCCCAGATGGCTTGTGGGTAGGAAGGGGCTGGGTGTCGTGACAGTCAGGGGAGTCAGCCGAGACAACCCAGGATGAAACACGGAGAGGGCAGGAGGAGAGGCCACTAGAAGGTTCTAGAAGGACAGCAGGGACACCAGCCTGTGTTTGTGTCTGAGCCTGGGCCGCCTGCAGCCCCGAAGCCCACACCCAAAGGGCTCTGAAGTGCCTCAACAGCAGGCCGTGGGCATTCTGGGCATGTGTTCTGTACCTGAAAGGCCAGTCCCCGTGGTCACTGCCGGGCCCGGGGGGCGGGAGCCCACAGCCAGCATCTCGGGGAGGGACAAAGGCAACAAAGACGGCAGCTGGGGCACCAAGCCTGTCCCCATGCAGCCAGCCAGCCTCTCCTCCCCCAGAGTCAGGCCAGATGGAGCAGCTGGGGCCTTGGGGACTCAGGGCCTTTGTGCCCTTGGTCCGGTGACAGCCACAAACCATCCATCAAACTGAAGGACCCTCATTTAAATTCTAATAGGAAAGGGGCCAGGAGGCAGGGGCTTCCCTGGGACTGCCCTCCCTGCCTCCCCCGCTGACCACCCTGCAAGCCAAGAGCCGTCCACACCAGCATCGCAAGGCCCCACAAAGCGGGGCGCATGTAAGTGGAGGGGGGGGCTCTCCTCTGGGAAACTCGGGACACGTGTTTTTGGTGGCTTTCCCAGGGACCCACGTGAATCGTGCCACCTGCCACAGGAAGAGCAGCAAACTGCCCGGGTCAGCTGGCGGAGCTGCTCCCCGCCCCCCTCTGCACCCCCCCCCCGCCCCCGACACTGGGGGTGGGGCTCTGAGGCTGAGGCGGTAGACGTGCGTCCCAGGAGGGGCTGGATTTTCGGGGGAGCTGTCAGTCCAGCCGGCATCTTGTTTGTTGAGTTACAAATGCCCGTTCCCCTGGTGGTGGCGCCCCACGCTGGGGTGCAACTGTGTGCACCGGTGACCGGGGCAGCCGCTCTGCCCCCGGGGCTCCCCACCACCACCACCACCCCCACGGTCTCTAGCTTAGCCTCAGGCCTTTGCTTTCATTCGGTCCAGAACGTGGGTGGTGGAGAGGGGTGCCAGCGGCCCGATGGGCAGGGAGGGGCCCCGAGGCAGCAGCGCAGTGGGTAAGGGTAGCCTGAACACAGGGTGAGGGGTTTGCAAAGCGGGTTCCGGCGGGCATGGCAAGGACTTGGAATTTTATTGCAAAGAAATACGCAACCCAGGCCACATCCCGCTCCTGCGGACCCTCACCACCAACCAGAAGTGGGGGTGAGGGTGACGGGAAAGCCACAGACAACTCTCAGCTTTCTTTCTGCCTAAACAGCTGGGTGGTGGCTCTTCATTTACAGAGACAGCGTGGCTGGTGGAGCCGAGCCCACAGGGACACACGGGGAGCCGTCTTTCTCCAGTGGCAGGTGACACAGCTAGGACGCAGCTCACGAAGCCACGCATCCACCCTGCGGCACCCTGGGCGGATCAGGGCCTCTCCTGAAATCAGAAAGTGCGCTGCGGCCTGACCGACTTCAGTCCCCCCGGGTCAAAGCCTTTCCTCCCTGCCCGACACAACCTGGGCTGGCGCCTCCGGTGGAGAAGGGGGTGGGCTCCTCGCCCCTCTCCTTCTTTCCCTGCTGCTTCTCTTGATTGGCTCCCCCGAGGGGATGAAGGAGGAGGGCGGGCTCCCCTCCTGCCACCCACAACCGTGGCTGCCCCCATGATGCTGTCTCCAGCAGGGCCCCTCCCCGGCAGCGTACCCACGGCCTCCTGCTGCTGCTTCCCCGAGCCACCCCTATTGGACCCCAGGAGGGGCTCCCCAGCTGCCTGGATCGGAAGCAGGGAGCCCTGTCCAAGGCCGGGCCGGGCTGTGCAGCGCGGGCGCCCCCCACCCGTGTGCGGTGGCCGAGGGCCTCTCGGGAGGAGTGGACTCTTCCCCACAGGCTTCTGGGCCGTGTTCTTGAAACACTGGCCGGCTGTCATCTCCAGGGGCCTTATTCTAAGGCTGATGCTGAGGCGCCCGGGGGGCTCAGTCAGTTGAGCGTCCAACTTCGGCTCACGTCATGATCTTGCAGCTTATGAGTTCGAGCCCCGTGTCGGGCTCTGTGCTGCCGGCTCGGAGCCCGGAGCCTGCTTCGGATTCTGTGCCTCCCTCTCTCTCTGCCCCTCCCCTGCTCACGCTCTGTCTCTGTCTCTCTCTCTTTCAAAAGTAAATAAACATTGGGGGCGCTTGAATGGTTCAGTGGGCTAAGAGTTTGGCTCTTGATTTCAGCTCAGGTCTTGATCTCAGGGTCGTGAGTTCAAGCCCCACGTTGGGCTCCACGTTGGACACGGAGCCTACTAACAAAACAAAACAAACAAAAGTAAATAAACATTAAAAAAAAAGTTCTGGAGGTGGACGTTGGGGACCACAGCACAAGACGAGAATGCCACTCACTAGAACGGTTAAAATGGTATCTTTTATGTTATGTCTATTTCTCCGCAGTGAAAAATCAGCAAACAGACATCAGTTGTTGACACGCTGGCAGCAAACCATGGGAAATGGGGTTTGGAAACGAGATTTACAAAAGCGTCAAAAATACCCAATACCTGGGAAGCTAACAGAAAACGTGTAAGAACAGTGTTACGGCACTTTCAGGGCGTTTGACGACCGTCACTGAGAATGGGGAAACCCACCATCTTCACGGACCGGAAGACTCAGTCTCGTTGGGGTGTCCGGCCCCCCAAGCGTTCCACCCACGTCTTACCGCAGAGTTTGGGGGGATACGTGTGATGTCTACCGAGCGAGTAGGGCCGTGGCGGTGGGTCTCTGACGCCGTGAGACGGAGAAAGTGCCTCTGCGTTCCTGGTTCCCTGGGCTGTCACCATGAAAGTCTTAGTGCACTGGCGTGTGTAACAGACCGCCCAGCGCAGGGCCCCTCGCCTGCACACACCAGCCTCCTCTCCGGCCAGGCTCGCTCGCTGACTCCAGTGGCCTTGTTTCATTTAGGCAGCACAGAAACAACCCTGCCCTCGCCACGCGTGCGAAGCCTCCATCACTCTAGACGAGGAAACAGTGCTTCGCCTCGGGTGGGGGTGCAGGGGCGGGAGACAGCAGCGTGTGCGCGGCTCCTACGGGCTATTTGTGTCTCCGCTCCCCCGTGACACACTCCCTGGCTTTGTCTTTCACATCCTCATTTCCCTGGTGTGTGGGTGTACGGCCGTGTGATTGTGTGTGTGTACCTCTGTGGGTATGATGATGCGTGTCTGTGCACATGTGTCTGCGTGTATCTCTGGTGGTGTGTCTGTGACTGCGTGTGTACCTTGGTGTGTGCCGTCATGCGGATCTGGGTCTGCATACAAATTTCTGGGTGTGTATCTGTGATTGTGTGTGTGCTTGTGTGTACGGCTGTGTGTGTCTGTGTGTGTGTCTGTACAGATTTCTGGGTGTGTGTCTGGTTGTGTGCATGTGTGTGTGTGTACGATTGTGCATGTCTGTGTACTTGTGTGTGCTTATGTGTCTGTAAGTCTTTCTGGGTGTGTGTCTGACTGTGTGTGTATCTCTGTGTATTATCATGCACGTCTGGGTCTGTGTACAGATTTCTGGGTGTGTGTCTGATTGTGTGCGTATGTGTGTGTGCATGGCTGCGTGTGTCGGTGTACATGTGTCTGTACATATTTCTCGGTGTGTGTCTGTCTGTGATTCTGTGTGTATGTATGTGTGTATGTGTACAGATGTGTATGTGTGTCTGTCTGTGATTGTGTGTGGGGGGGATGTGCGTGTCTGTGTGTCTGTCTGTGTGTGTGTGCATCAGATGGCTGTGTGTGTGTCTGTCTGGGTGTGTGTGTGATGGCTGTGTGTGTATGTGTGTATGTGTCTGTGTGTGTGTGTGTGTGTGTGTGTGTGTGTGTGTGTACGGCTGTGTGTGTCTAGGTGTGTGTGTGTCTGTGTGTGTGTCTGTCTGTGATTGTGTATGTGTGTGGGTGTGGGTGTCTGTGTGTCTGTCTGATTGTGTGTGTGTGTGTGTGTGTGTGAGAGAGAGAGAGATGGCTGTGTGT